TGTGTCATGTGACACCATCAGGGAGATTCCCCTCACTTCCTTTCCCAGTGACCTCCCACAGGAAGTGAGGGAAAAAAATCTAACCAATGAAGTCGCAGATACCAATTAAATCTTATTAAAGGTTCCAGGGGGTGGAAATTCGGGTCAATGAGGGTTAATAACACATTTATTAACGTAAAAAAAAGTGTTTGTTTTTTTTAAACTTGTCGAGTTTCCTGATTTGTCATCATCTGCAGGTCAAAGGTCACCGTCCAATCCGCAATAAGATAATAATGGACAGAACATCATTTGTCCGGGGGACGGTCTGCTCAATCCCGGGACTGTCCCAGGAAATCGGGGACGAATGGTCACCCTAATGTAGAAGGTATATGGAACGCTGAAGGTACGTGGAATGTCGAAGGTAAGTGGAATGTCGAAGGTATGTGGAAAGTCGAAGGTATGTGGATTGGGGAAGGTACATAGAACATTGTAGGTAAGTGGAATGTCGAAGGTATGTGGAAAGTCGAAGGTATGTGGATTGGGGAAGGTACATAGAACATTGTAGGTAAGTGGAATGTCGAAGGTATGTGGAAAGTCGAAGGTATGTGGATTGGGGAAGGTACATAGAACATTGTAGGTAAGTGGAATGTCGAAGGTATGTGGAAAGTCGAAGGTATGTGGATTGGGGAAGGTACATAGAACATTGTAGGTAAGTGGAATGTCGAAGGTATGTGGAAAGTCGAAGGTATGTGGATTGGGGAAGGTACATAGAACATTGTAGGTAAGTGGAATGTCGAAGGTATGTGGAAAGTCGAAGGTATGTGGATTGGGGAAGGTACATAGAACATTGTAGGTAAGTGGAATGTCGAAGGTATGTGGAAAGTCGAAGGTATGTGGATTGGGGAAGGTACATAGAACATTGTAGGTAAGTGGAATGTCGAAGGTATGTGGAAAGTCGAAGGTATGTGGATTGGGGAAGGTACATAGAACATTGTAGGTAAGTGGAATGTCGAAGGTATGTGGAAAGTCGAAGGTATGTGGATTGGGGAAGGTACATAGAACATTGTAGGTAAGTGGAATGTCGAAGGTATGTGGAAAGTCGAAGGTATGTGGATTGGGGAAGGTACATAGAACATTGTAGGTAAGTGGAATGTCGAAGGTATGTGGAAAGTCGAAGGTATGTGGATTGGGGAAGGTACATAGAACATTGTAGGTAAGTGGAATGTCGAAGGTATGTGGAAAGTCGAAGGTATGTGGATTGGGGAAGGTACATAGAACATTGTAGGTAAGTGGAATGTCGAAGGTATGTGGAAAGTCGAAGGTATGTGGATTGGGGAAGGTACATAGAACATTGTAGGTAAGTGGAATGTCGAAGGTATGTGGAAAGTCGAAGGTATGTGGATTGGGGAAGGTACATAGAACATTGTAGGTAAGTGGAATGTCGAAGGTATGTGGAAAGTCGAAGGTATGTGGATTGGGGAAGGTACATAGAACATTGTAGGTAAGTGGAATGTCGAAGGTATGTGGAAAGTCGAAGGTATGTGGATTGGGGAAGGTACATAGAACATTGTAGGTAAGTGGAATGTCGAAGGTATGTGGAAAGTCGAAGGTATGTGGATTGGGGAAGGTACATAGAACATTGTAGGTAAGTGGAATGTCGAAGGTATGTGGAAAGTCGAAGGTATGTGGATTGGGGAAGGTACATAGAACATTGTAGGTAAGTGGAATGTCGAAGGTATGTGGAAAGTCGAAGGTATGTGGATTGGGGAAGGTACATAGAACATTGTAGGTAAGTGGAATGTCGAAGGTATGTGGAAAGTCGAAGGTATGTGGATTGGGGAAGGTAAGTGGAATGTCGAAGGTATAAGATCGGTTATAAGATCGGGAGAGATTTATAGACCCCCCCAGACCCATAGGTCACATTTACATATAAAGAGGTCCTGTCACTGCCTTACCTTCCAAGCAACCCCGGAGATGAGGTACGTTTATTTTGATAAAATAAAACGTTTTTTTGGAAGAGGGTGAATGTTGGGCGAATGTTAGGGGAATGTTGGGCGAATGTTAGGGGAATGTTGGGTGAATGTTGGGCGAATGTTAGATAAATGTTGGGCGAATGTTAGATAAATGTTGGGCGAATGTTGGGCGAATGTTAGATAAATGTGGGGTGAATGTTAGGGGAATGTTAGATAAATGTTGGGTGAATGTTGGGCGAATGTTAGATAAATGTTGGGCGAATGTTAGGGGAATGTTAGATAAATGTTGGGTGAATGTTGGGCGAATGTTAGGGGAATGTTAGGGGAATGTTGGGTGAATGTTGGGCGAATGTTAGATAAATGTTGGGCGAATGTTAGGGGAATGTTAGATAAATGTTGGGTGAATGTTGGGCGAATGTTGGGTGAATGTTGGGCGAATGTTAGGGGAATGTTGGGTGAATGTTAGGGGAATGTTGGGTGAATGTTGGGCGAATGTTAGATAAATGTTGGGCGAATGTTTGGGGAATGTTAGATAAATGTTGGGTGAATGTTGCGCGAATGTTAGATAAATTTTGGGCAAATGTTGGTGAATGTTGGGTGAAAGGAGATTTGTCAGCACAACAAAAACCCAGAAGCTGGGTAATAAG